GAGCACTTTTCGTAGATGGATTCAAATTGTTGATCCATATTCCATCAACACCTTCTAGCATTTCCGATGGGATGTTGATTGTGGCTCTTCCTATACAGACTCATCAAACTATCACATTGGATTCTTGTACCCAAAACAAAGCTATTCTATAAGACCAAAAAGCACATCCTAGTCCATCAAATAACATTCGTTTTAGTATTATTACAGTTCTACAGAGATAATTAGATAAAATGAAGTCTAAACCATAGGTTACAGGAATTAGCTACTGTATGACGGCGGACCAGCATAAATTTCAACTTCTCTTCATGGGTAAGGACGTTGAGAACTCCACATGGTTACAACATAGCTTACAACTTTCAATATCAATAGCACAGAATAACTACTATAGTCAGCAAATTCTTCAGACTTACATTCAAAACAAATCACACAATATCTAGCAAATACAAACAAAATCCAATATATTGGTAAATTTAGTGGAAGAAATCTTAAGCCTATTGATAATAGCGCCAAATTTTCCAATAAATACAATTCCAAAATGCATATGTAACCTTACCACTTATTCAATTAAACAAAAACTCAAGAAAACAAAGAAAAAAAAATGAAAATAATTGGTGGACCTGTGCTTTTTAGAGAGGAGCTTGTTCTCGTTGATCTTCCTGCCGCCGCCTTCAGTGGCGTTGTGGGCCCCTTCTTTCCATTTGTCTGGCACTATCACCTTGGACAGCTTCTTCTCGCCTACACATATATTCATACATACCCTTGTATATAATACCCAATCGGACAAAATCCTCAAAAATTAATTCAAAAATTACACCGATCAAATATATACATGTAATTATATACGATGAAATTGAGGGCACAGAGGAGAAAGAACTTACATTTTTCGCAGACCATTCTGAGCTGTGAATTAATAACCCGATGGAAGAGCAAGGATTTCGTTGGAGAAGGGGAAAGGAAAACGATGGTGTTATTAGACTAAAATACCCTTTAATAACTAAAGAACGCAGACTGAAAATACTATAGTTTTTAGAAACAATCTACTTGTACATAGGTGTGTACATAAGCGTGTACATAATGTGAGTGTGGTGGAGTACACGACACTGTAGCGTAGGCCCCACCCCCACTCACATTATGTACAAGTCTATGTACCAGTAGCATTACGCTAGTTATTAAGATGGAGAATTGATTAAAGGAATATGCTACTTGTACATGCGTTGTTCATGAACTCCGATTATAAAATAGAATAAACAAACAATGTCAAATATCATGAATACCTTTACCATGAGAAAAGACCTTAACACCATTATCAATCCAATTAATTCCCCAATTCAATTTTAAGTCCCCAAATCACAATTGTCCGTTTTCTTCTCTTCGAATACCATGCTTGCTTTTCTAAAATCATGTTATTTATTATATTCTTCACCTATTTTGAGTATTTGAACATGAGTTTGATGAGCATATTATTTACATTGAAAAATCTCATTTTCATGTGAAGAAGAAAGATTATTTAAGAAATTTCATGTAAATTGTACTTTTATTATTGAATACAGTATTAAATGATATTTAATTGGCGTTATTTTTGTATATAGTGTATTTTTGTGTTGTTCGAATCTATTGAATGATAATAACACTTCAACAAGTATCTTAAATGTAGAATGTCATTTAAGTCGTTATTTATTTCGTAAAACGGCATTACAATCGTTATCTATTGTAGTTTGATTTTTCCAATGAAATGATCTCTAATAATAGACTCCCTAACATATATAATACAGAAAGATTAACCATGTCACAGATAACGGCTAAAATGATATTGCTTTTATATTATCAAAATAGTGAAAGCACAAGTCATCATACTTATATGTGCAGATTATGTTAATAAGCATATATCTGAACATTGATACGTGTCATGTGCATATTACAACGTAAGTAAGTTCCATTTATTATTTCTCAGTGCACGAATAGGTCGTGGAGTACGCTAACTATAACATTCTGTTATTATTTCTCTTATTATTTATACGAGTTATGTCCTATGTTCAAAAAGGCTCATCTAAATATGGTGCACACTAACTATGACGAAAGAATATATTTATCGTGATCGATAAATATGTGCACATCATTAACAATTTTCGAACACTCCATGATATAATTATATGTACTTTTCTTGTGTTCTTTTAATTACACGTCGACATGTCCTACACGTGTTTGTACAACGTAGACGTCTGGATGCACGCCTTTCTATTTGGCAAAGTAATATTTTCTTAATTTGAATAATTGTTAAAACTTTTTTTAGAATAACAATTGCTAAAAGTTAAAAAAGAAATAATCCCATAAAAAATCCATTCAAGTTCATACCTAGCCCACGAGTATAATTTTCTTTGCCCAAGAACAAAATAGGGAACAATACATCTCTCGGGCATTTACTTTACACCATTTCAAAAATACAAAAATAAGTTCTAAATTTCAAAAATCAGGTTTTTAAATTTTTATTTATGTATAACATAATTATCCCACCCCACCTCCACCACCCCTACCGCTTCGGAAACTATTCCGGAAATCGTTCCGGTCACAGCTTTTTTCGACGACTGTTCTGACGACCGTTTCGATTCCGGCAACTATTTCGATGGCCGTTTCGCCGTCGCTTTATTCTGGTGACTTCTCCGATTCTGACAATTGTTCCAACTCCGGCGAATATTAAATATATTAAGGTTACGGATCTATACAATTTGGTTACATTTCAATAATTTTAAAGTCACGATTCAAAAATTTGATAGATCACAATTTCATCGATCACAAATTAAAAAATTAAAAGTCATAATTTGTTTATCGATCGCAAATCACAAAATTTATAAGTCACGCTATTTATTTTATAGTCACAAATATCAAATTAATTGAACATAAATTATATTTAGGTCACAATCTATCAGATTATTGGTTACAAATTAATAATTTTTAGATCACATGGCATGTATTGGTCACATTTTATCTAATTCATTGGACACACACCAACCAAATGATTGGTTACAATCAACCAAATTATTTGTAACCACTGCTTCGCCACTACCTCTACTGGTAGCACCACCGTTGTCGCCGTCCAATAGCAACATCAACATTTCAAACAAACCAACACCAAACCCTCCCGGCACCACAGTCACCACCCCCAAGACCACCACTGCCAACAAGCACAATACAGCAAATCCACCATCGCCAACGCACAAGCACAGCAAATTCTTACCACCACCATCGCACGCACGCACGCAAACACAAATACACCACCCCCCACAACCTGACAAAATCGTTGCCAGATCCACCATAGCCACCAACAAAAATCACTTAAAACCCCCTAACAACACCAACCACCACAACACCACTACAAAAAACCACCACAGCAAACCATCGGCAAAAATCAGCCATACAACCACCACAACCATTCGATAAATCAACTCGAAAACAAAAAAAAAAGATCTGTGCCGCTGTGAGCAACGACGGTGGGCGCCCTGTCGCAGCCGTTACGTACCAGATCGCGATACAAAGGAGGAGAGGAAACCAGTCCTCAAATCGAGCGCTCAGAGTTGTGTACAAGATTGCTAGTGGGTAATTGCTGCGGATTAACACGGACAGAGACGGAGAGGACACTGGGTAATGGTTGTTCGGGGAGATGTGTGGGATCCACTGCGACAAGAAGGCCGGGAATAATGGAAGGAAAGAGGAACGGGCAGGAAGAGAGAAACGGACGAGAAAATGAGTAAATGAACGAACGGGAAGAGAGAATTCTATGTTCATGTGTCACACACACGGTGGCGGTGGAGGCGACGGGCGATGGTGGTTGTGTGTCGCCGTTTGTGGAGAGACGGTGAGAGAGTGGAGAAATGGGTGAGAGACTGAGAGAGAGTGTATTTTAGTTTAGGGTTTAATTGATATAATTATATAAAAATAATAAAAATATGTTTTTAAATTATTAATTAAAACTTGATTTTTGAAATGTTAAACGTGATCTGATTTGTGAAATTGAAAATCTAATTCTAGGTTTAGGTGCAATTTCTTCAACAAAATATTATTGAATTGGGCTACTTTTAAGAATTATGTATTTGTTGGAAACTAGAAAAATATGCATGAAGTTTCTATAATTAAAATAATATTTCAAAAATATAAAAATATGTCTTATTATGTCTAGGCTTATAAGGTTAATGGCTAACATATACGCCTTGTCATGTCTTTTAGAATCTTAATTATGACTTATATTTTTGAATTTTTTTTAAAAAAATATAGGACGAATTAAATCAAAACTTGATATGTATATTATTCATTCATGTTTTGAGTCTTACGTTATTTTCAATAAGTCGAAGCAATTAGGTTTGGATCAAAGGCACCATTGGAAAGGAAAGAAGGTAAATTAGCCGTACGAGAAGAGGCGAAAGGACCCGTAGTTAAAGCAGAAATCCCTTGTGCCTAGCTCTAGATGTACACCCTTGTTTATCACAGAATTTAACTCAAAGGCGTGCAAACAGCTTTTCCAAATCTTATATGTGGCAGAATGTGAATTTTAATTCTAATTTATAAACGCTCTAGCTTTGAATGAATTGTAGCATCAAAATTGGTTGAAAGCACGTAAATCCACCCCAAATCACTTTTGAAAGATTTGAAATTCGTAGTGCTAGAAATCTCCTGAAAGGTTAGAGAACCAGGTGCAATTTACCCAAATTTTTAACTAAATCAATCAAATTATTAACTCAAAAAGTTCTTTCAAACTCGATTCAAACTAATAGAGGAAATATGAACATTATTTTAAATGTACTGATAATACCAAGAAATTAAGACCAAGATTTGCATAGTAGCGAGTCCAAAAGACACGCCAAATTTAAAAAACTAAAGAAGGTAGCACTTCAATCAAAACTGAGGCACCGTCCCAAATTGATATGATCATTCTATTAGTCTCTCTTTATTCTTGATCGAAAGCTTCGAAAACGCATTCATATGCATAAATATGTACCATTTTGTTTAAATTATGCATCCACAATTTCTTCAGCCTCGACAGAAGCAAGAATCAACTCTGATTGAGTGCTTTTCAACTCTGTGTAAGAATCAGCCAATGCATTTGGCTGTCCCAATGCCCTCAAGGCCAAATGGGCTGCCTTTTGCCCTGAAATCATCATTGCCCCAAAAGTTGGACCCTGAAAAATCATGGCGAAATTAGTATATATTCAAGACCATCTTTTTCTGTAATGCTTCGAAAATTTGGTGTCATTATGTCGAATAATTATAGCAACTTAAAAGGAAAGTACCATTCTTGGAGCCCCATCGATCTCTGCAACTTCCATGCCGGTGACAATCATACCAGGCACGACCTCTCTAGTGTGCCTAACAATGGCATCCTCGGCAGTATTCATATCAAGGGCCTTCATCCCGGGCACGCTGTCAATCATTCCGATGCTCTTCAGCCTCTTAACACCGGTGGCGCCAAAAGGTCCGTCGTGGCCACAAGAACTAACCACCACTTTAGCCTCCATCACATTAGGATCCATGCAAGATTGTGTGTCATGGTTCATCGAAACCAAAGCCCAGTTGGTGACAACCCCACAGACTCTTCCATCCTTCACTATCAAATCTTCGGCCGCCACAGCATTGAACAGCTTCACATTAGGCCTGGCCAAGAGTTTGCTCATGATAGTCGAGGTGAACAAGGCCGCATGTTTGATGACAACATAGTCATCTTGTTCATCGTACTCAATCTCGAGCTCATCCAAGAATTTGTGTGCTGGTTTACGCACAACCATGGCGGAGAACAGCTGCCCCCCGAGCCAAGCTCCACCTCCAGGGCTGACGGATTGTTCGATAATGGCAATTTGGATGTTAGGATTTTTGCTGAGCTCATAGGCGCAGGAGAGCCCGGCAGAGCCAGCGCCCACAACAACAACATCTGTATCAGCGTGGGTGATCATATCCATCATGTATCTTCTGGTCATTTCTCGTGAAACAGTGGATTCCTTAATAGGTTGGAATTTGAAGTTGTCAAGATTGTAAGGGGTTGATGCGGACATGGTGATTGAAAAGTTTTGTTGACTCGATTTAATGGATTGAACCCGGTTGGACAAAGGCGAGCCGTGGAACGATGACTTGTTATCCAAAAATGATGATTTGGAAAGTGAAGAGGTAAGGGTTGTGGCCATTGTCGCCATTGGAATGAACTAGAAATTTTGCAGGGTTGTTATAGACTAGAAAAGGGATGAACTAGAGAGTGTTGAGTGATGGTTAGTTGATGACATTATTATATATGAAGAAAAAGTGAGAGGATTGAAAATATCTCCGTTGAGAGGAAGATAAAATTTGAACGATTCTGAATGGTTCTTTTTATTTTCTTGGGATTATTGATATTTTTTTGGAAAATCACAAGATTTTCATGTGGCAAGCCAATTGTATATTTTCTTTTTGGGAATTTGTGGTTACAATTCATAACGTACATAAAATGACGTTGAAAAATCTAACAATTTTAGAAGAAAAGAGTAGGAGCGGAATTTGATATCTCGTGAATCACGACCATATTGTTATGCGTTATGCGGAATACTTTTTTTATTATATTTGATATTAAGAGCTTGTTTGAAAGAAATTAAAATTGAAAATATAGCTGTTGTTAGGTCTCACTCGTCTAATAAAAGTCAACAATAACGACTAGTTTTTCAATTTTAATCCGATTTTAATCTCTACCAAACACACTCTAATAAATTCTCATTTTATTTCTCAAAATTCAAAAAGTGGGATTTAATATTTTTTGGGTTTTTTTTTATTAAAATTTATTTAGTCCCTCCCTTTTTGAAGACCATTATTTGGGAACAATAATATTTTGAATAGTGAATTTTTGGAGAATGTGTGGTTAAAAAGTATGAATTTTTTTTTATTTACGTGTAGAATATTTTATTGTGTGAATATGTGATTGAAAATGCGCATATATATAATGAATTAAAGGCCATCAAAAAAGGCTTAATACCTCACAAGTCTTCGTCGTTAAAAAGAAAAGAAATAAAAAATATATTACCAGTTCATTAATTGACGGACTCACTTGTATTGGGACATATGGTAAAATCTCTATAAAATAATAAAGATGGAATCGAGAAAAATTATTATTTCTAGAGGGGTTATTAATTTATTGGTGATTGAATATTTATTTAATTTATAGAATATTTTGTATTTTTATAACTTGTATTATATTTTACCATAATGCATGTAGGAAGTTAAAAGAAAAAACATTGAATGTGGTGAAATTCAAATTTTATTTCTCATACTTATTTTTAACAACACATTCATATAATAAAAAATTTTGCACGTAATCCAAGAATTTTCCTCATTTTTTCACCGCTCATTCTCCAAAAAATTCTTATTCAAAAACATCATTTTTACACAATAACGACCATCAAACCGGAGTTTAATATCTTCGAAGATATTTCAAGTTATTTCATATATACATAGAACATAATTTTTAGGGAAAATTGCAGTCACGATAGTTTTTTTTATTTATTTTCTTTTCTTTATATTCATTTTAAATGTAAAATACAAAGTTACCAATTTGTCCTTAATGAATTTGGTCAATTTTGATTTTTTGGTCAACTAACGGTTAATTGGACAGAAACCGTCCATTTGGATTCCGGGTGCGAATTGTTTAAAGGTTTGGTACCGTGGATGGTACAAAACAAAGGTTTGGACAAAGTCTGCAGAAATGTGAAAAGTTCGGTACCGTGGCTGCAATTTTCCTTATAAACTAAGGAAAAANTATTAATTTTTCGAACATTCATTTATCGAGATTTTAGATGATTATTGTTTTTTGCAAACTTTAGCATATGATTGATAGAAATTAAAATCTAAATTTTAATCAAATTTAAAGTCAATAATTAATTTTAACCATATATTTTATGATAAATTCATAACTTTTAAATCACATATTTCATCTACTTTCTCTAAAATCTGATTTGTTTATTTCAACATCAATCCAATCCAAGTTTTATATAAAAACTGGAATTAAAGCTGAAATTAATTTATCTTGACATCTGTGGAATTTGAACCCACGCCCTTTCGGACCAGAGCCTATCGGCCAAACTGTCAACCTGTGCTTTTGCTTTAAATTATTAAATTAAATAAAAATTATCGTATTGTTATTCACATCATAATTGAGTGGTGACAAAATATTTGAAGTGTTATGTCACTTTAGATGAATCTATATACACTCCATTTGGTCACAATTTATCATGTGACTTGTAGCAGTAGGCCATGTGAGCACTCTGTCATTATTGAATTGATACTTAAATAGGTGAGATTCATTTTTTAAGTAGGACCAAGAATGAATAAATAATACGCGTATCAATTTAATAGTGACAGAGAGAACTGAATTTCATATTTCGAAAGTATTAAGAGATTTATTGCTCGGAACAGATCAAGGGAACCAACCCTTGAAGTCTCTCTCAATTTCATCATCACCAGTAGGCAGCAGCTCTTCTTCCAAGTAGAATTTCACTGCTTTTGGCGAAAGAAATTCTTTAGACCTCCTTTTATTACACAAATTACTATTATAAACGTCTTTACACCCTTAATTTAAGCTAAGCCCATTCTTTTAACGTAATCTTTTTAAACAAAAGGCAATTCGAATCCAGTTGTGAAATCCAAAAATTACCAATTATTTAATGAACATGTTGTCCCGGCCTCTAGTTGGCTATTCTGTCACTGGACAAGAAACTTGTCGGCAGCATGGAATTTCTTTTCATGCTCATCTGGCAATTCTTTTCTGCATATTGCCATTCTTTGTGTATAATAATAATAATTTTAATTCCTCCAATGCCCTTTTTAATTTTGGGAAAATTGCACCGACTGTAGTGATCCTTTTGAGGGCAGAAAGGAGAATTTTAATATCAGAGATGGATTTGAATGCTTGGAGGGCATCGTAAGAAGTCCAAAAGGTACTTAAATCTGCCAAAAATTTATTGAAATTTTTGATTTTCCAGCTGTATTCTTAAACAGTAAAATGACTGCGAAAGAACACATAATAATGGCATCATTTCTTGCTTGCATTTTTTAAAGATCCAACTGTGCAATTCTTCTTCAAGAAAATGGAGAAACTATTTCATTCATTGGCCACTTTTCTCTTCATTGTATTCATTTCTTTATTCCAATTAGTAGCAGCAGGCGAAGGTTCATTTGATGATAATTTTAGCAAAAGCTGTCCAGAGACTCATTTCAAGACTTCAGAAGATGGGCAGATCTGGTACCTATCCTTGGATAAACAAGCAGGTATTTGTATTAAAATTTAAATGTTCTTTTAATTTCACTGCATTGCTCTACTTGAAAGAATTCTGTGTGTTCATAGGTTGCGGGTTTGCTACAAAGCAGAGGTACAGATTCGGGTGGTTTAGCATGAAGCTTAAACTAGTCGGAGGTGACTCGGCCGGAGTGGTTACTGCTTATTATGTAAGTCATATTATCCATGCTGAAGATCTCACTCTTGAAACCGAAAGGTGATCAAAGCGCTTATAATAACTCGAGAAGTCAAATTTTTTGACTTAGGGATGTATACTCAATCGAGTCATTACAATCATTTTTCGTTTGTACAGATGTGTTCAGAGGATGGGGCGGGCCCGCAGAGGGACGAGCTAGACATTGAGTTCTTGGGAAATCGAACAGGGCAGCCCTACCTTATACAGACCAACGTTTACAAGAATGGAACTGGTAACCGTGAAATGAGGCACATGCTATGGTTCGACCCTACCCAAGAATTCCACATCTATTCTGTTCTTTGGAACAACCATCAAATAGTGTAATTCCTTTTACACTCACTCTATAATCTATTATCTTACGTCCTCATCAGATCTGTCAATCACGTCAACGATTCCTTGAAATAACTTTTGAAAATCAGGTTCTTCGTCGATAGAGTTCCGATAAGAGTATACAAGAATGCAAATTACACGAACAATTTCTTCCCGAACGAGAAGCCAATGTACTTATTTTCGAGCATATGGAACGCGGACGATTGGGCTACGAGAGGCGGGCTAGAGAAGACAGACTGGAAAAAAGCCCCTTTTGTATCATCCTACAAGGATTTCAATGTTGATGGGTGTCAATGGGAAGAACCCTACCCTGCATGTGTATCCACCACCACAAAGAATTGGTGGGATCAGTATAATGCTTGGCATCTATCAGATGATCAGAAGAAGGATTTTGCTTGGGTTGAGAGGAACCTTGTTATATATGATTATTGTAAGGACACCCAAAGATTCCCAAAATTGCCTGAGGAGTGTTGGTTAAATCCATGGGACTAATTATAGATAACACTTCATTAAATTTATTATGAATGCTAGATGGATTGTTTATGCTGCATTATTTTGATATGTGTATTCAATGATTGTGGAATATTTGTTTGTGCACTTGCAAAAAACTTCTCTACTATTTGTAACATTTGATACAATTATAATTTGGAAAATTGCAGTTGTGGTTCCTGACATTTATGGTATGTGCAAATGATTCTCCAACCTTCAAATCTTAGGAACACCATTCCCTAGTAAATTAGTAAGATAGAATAACGGTATTGTCGACCAGAAAAAAATGTAAGGACAAAATGAGAATTCGAATGTTTGTCACATATCTACACTTTTTATATATTGTAGATTATTGATCCTATCAATTAATTACCAGCCTTTAGATATAAATATATACATGACAAAGGAAATTACAAATTAAATGACACATTCATTTTTTGTCATTATTAATGTAGATAGTTTATCATTAATCAGGGCTCTCTCCATGTCCTTCAAATCCACCCCTCATCCCTCTTTTGGATTTTCTTCTCGTTTTCCTCCCCTTCTCCTCTTAACATCACGAACGCTTCCAATGATGGATTCTTGTCAATGTTATTTCGTGACATTGATCGATGATAGACCTACAAAACAATAGCATGTTGTAAAATTAGACATTTCCTTTTCTATCCCAATTAAACATCCATGATTTTTGCTTTCTTTCATGTTTTGAATTTTGTTTCTTTCTTCTTTTTTTGATTTAAAAAACGATCATCTCGTTTGGTTTGCATGCATACTTGCTGTAATATGTATATTCCAACAATATTTTAAGATATATGGGGATGAATATACAAGGAAGGGCAGGAGAAGAAGCTTCTCTATTGACTCTCCTTCATCCCTGCATAATCCCTATCCTTATATGAAAAGGTACGCCTTCATTATTTTGGTTAGGCTCTCACACGAATAGGTTGGATTAATTTTTTGATTAAAGATTCATACGTGCACATTTTCTTGAAAGCCCGGAAAAGGTTAAAGAATTAACAAGTCTCATTCTACATGTTTGCTTTTGGCATAGGCGAACCTTTTTCAACATTTGAGTGGTGCTTCCTTCAGTATTTTGCCTGGTATTTTAGAAGAGGGTGATTAAATTGGACACGTACAGTCTCCACAATGGGAACAAAAAAGAAAGGGATCTTCCAGGGATTCATATGTAGTCTGTCTCAAATCTTTGGTAATGCCTCTGATTCACAATTTCTAAGATCATTTTCGCTGTATATTGTAATGGGTTTTTGGCAGTTTTGGGTCTAATGTGAAACCTGGTCATTTTGAAGTTGAGAAAGAGCCTGAAATAGAGATTGGATTGCCAACAGATGTTAAGCATGTGGCGCACATCGGCTGGGATGGCCCCTCCGGTACTGGTCCTGGTTGGGTACGTGCATGACAAATTTATTTATCTAAATCAAGATTTTTTGTATTCGTCAAAACTAATTTGTTCGTTTCATAATGAAGATGAATGAATTCAAGACAGGGCCTAATTTTTCAGCAGCGTCGATTGGCAATTCTGGTTCTGCTCTTTCACCTTGGTCATCTCAAGGTCTGGATCTTAAATAACTTTTCCATTTTTCCATGTTTTATTTTTCAGTTATTATTTCAGATTATAAATTATCAACACAACAAATAGCCTATATAAGAAAGAAATGTTGAGATTATTAACAGGGTATGGACACTTCCATAATAATACGTTATTATTGAAACACGGAGAAATTGAAATCTTTGTCTTGGCTATATTTCATTTTCCCTACCAGATTTTGGAGAATCTACGAGGCAGAAATTGGGATCTGAGGTTCATAAAGACTTACCATCGACTGAGGTTGCCGGTATTCGAAAGAAGCAGAAGCGGAAGAAGTCTAAATCATCTTCTTCGTCCTCGTCCTCACGAGTACCCAAGTCCACATCCAAGTTTGTTGAAGGCAGTGCCAAACCAACAAACATTGAAGTGGCATGACATAATAGACTACTCACCTGTGCTAGATTTCTTCAGATTTCTCTTTCAGTCTTGGAATGGCCATGAAATTAAAGAGACAAGGGATGTAGTACAAATAGCTAAATGGGAGACTGAAGGGGAATAGAGATGTAATGCATGTACAATGGTCATCTTGATATTGAGGCGAGGTATTTTGTACTGATGAGATGAGATTTCTAATTTTCCTGATGAAACATTTGTGCTGATGTGGGATATTTGATTGGAAAGATACAGATTCTTTGATCGTCTATGGTAGTTAAATTCCATGTATTTGCTTATGTCCGACCTTGGAGAAAAGCACAAGCAGTGCTGTACCACCCTAAATGCAGCCCAATCGACCCTTTTTACGCTTCTATATGAAAAGATACATAACTACGGAGTTATAAACAAGCAAGACTAAATTTCGAACACCCCAATGATCCCTTTTGAAATCATACGAGTGAATTGAACGTCACAATTCCAATAATCTCATATATCCTCCAGTAGAAGTTTATACGCGAGAAAAGATTTATTTTTCAACTATAATATAAAATGGAGACATTCCTCCTACTAATGAATTTGACAAAAAAATCTTAATCCTTAATTTAAGTTAATCTAATGGTCTATAATCTAGATGTATTAAAGCCTTTATTAAAGTGTTTTTGGACGTGATTACAGTGGTTTCACAAGGTTATAATGCAAAATGTTGCGTTATCTTAAATTATGGTGATGAACATTTCTCTAATTCAATGGTAGGAAGAACGGTTTCCATATAAAATATAACAATTTTAATTCAAATTCATTAGGTTTTCTCTCCTTAAAATAATCTTATTTCCACCATTGGTAGTGTATCTCATTTTAAATTCTTTCAATTTGAACAAACAATAAGAGGCCATGTTTGGGCCGGATTAAAATCTAATTTTAATCTAAGTCAAAGTCAAACAATCAATATTAACTACATCTTTCGTGGGTCCCACATCTTTTCAACCACACATTTTAAAATTTTTTATCACAATTCACTAAAAATCTAATTTTAATTTCCACCAAACACCCTCTAGGTATTGTGGATTAAGCAATGAAAGAAACAACTATGAATTGAACAATCCAACAAATTGGAAGTTTAAAAAAAAAGTATTCTTAGCACCTGTTTGGTATAAATTAAAATCTGATTTTTAATAGATTTTGATAAAAATTAATGAAATGTGTGGTTAATACTTCAAAAGTTGTTGTCCCATAAAATATATAATTAAAATTAATTGTTGACTTTGACTTAAAATTTTAATTTAATTTTAATCCGAACCAATCATGGACTTAATTTAAACTTTTCTTGTAATGCTCCTTTCATTGTTATATCATTTATCGCATGACATATGAAGGTGAAGTCGCATGCCTCCCTCCTAAATTTGCTTTCGGCATGCAAAAATACCCTACCAAAGTAGGGAAATAAAAATTGTTGGCCAAAACAAAACGTACGTTCCAAGTTTGCAAAAAAAGGGAAAGAAAAGAAAACAGAATTGCAAGAAAACATTAAAAAAAATACTGAAAATGGGTAAGAATGGTTGGTTGGATTTAAAAAGTCTCCCACTATGTCACCCATCAATTGTAGGGTTCAGAATGAGATTATAAAGTAGATTAATTATATCTTTAAAACAATTTGAAGCGAAGCAAGCAAGAAAACATAATTATATGTTATCAGTGGTAGCAATGATAATGCAAAATGAGCAACCCATATAAGCAATGATCATGAATATTCCACAAAGTCAAATGGAGAAGGATAAATTTCAAAACTTTTTCTACCAGGTAATATTACCTTACAGTATTCAAAAAAATTAAAAATTAAAAATTATTTCAGTATTACTTACTAAACATACTTTTTTTTTTCGAAAGAAATGCATACAAAAAGATAGACAGAATAATACGTGACAATATTAAGAAAGAGAGAAAAAAGTTAAAATCTTGTTGATACTCCTTAGATTCGTTACCTCAGCAAAACTATGGTTTTATCTAATCTCATGGATGTCCCGACTTTCATCCCTCGTTTTTGTGCATTTTACCGATTAAGGGCTTGTTTGAGTCCCATTTTTTATTTTCATTTTAAAAAAAGCATTTTGTAATAGTGTCATGATGGAGAATGTATAGTTAAAAAATAAGAAAAAAATTGATTTTTGTGTAATATTATTTTATTGAAAATTGTATGGTTGAAAAAAGAACAAATCACTGATCAATAATTCATTTTGATGGAAAAAATGAGGCTCAAATAAGGGCTAATTGTAAATTCTTTCTATCACGTAATGTACTCGACTCGAGCTTGATATTTTCTAATGCGTGTTTAGGGTTGAGTGGTCGAACCCATGCTCTATATTGTGCCCTTATTTGATATGTATTAAAATCTGATTTTTTTTTAATCAAAATCAAAGTTAATATTCAATTTTAACCACATATTTTTATTAAGAGATAAAATTTCACATTGAATAAAAATAAAAATATAGACCAATTTATAAAGGATATGGATTACCCTTCTTAATATAGTATCATATTTCATTAAGTTCAAACAAGCAATTCGATTCGATTAAGACTAAAAATGAGTGTGTAAATTTCAAAATTAATCTGCTCAAATGAGTCTACACCTTGCAGGGACATGCCATATCAAATAAAGATGAAAATATGATCAATTGATAAAGGTTTATATTACTCCTTTTAATAAGATTAACATTTTAAGATGAAATATCAAGTTTTAACATGGTATAGTATCAGAGTCCATAAACTCCAACGAGTAATTCGAACCGAACTCAAAAAAATGAACATGTGAATTTCAAGATTGATCTGTTTAAACGAACCACCATCTTGCAGTGCATGTAAAAGATAAATTTCACATGAAATAAAGATGAAAATATATACCAATATATAAGAGTTTGGACTATTTATATTAATAAGGTTGACAATTTAAGATGGAATCCTAAATTTTAAAATGGTATCAGAACCCACTAAGTTTCAACAAGCAATTTAGTTCGATTAATACTCAAAAAATGAGAACACGAATTTCAAGATTCATCACTTCAAACGAGTCACTATCTTATAGGAAGGATAAATTTTCATATCAAATAAAGATGAAAACATAAAAGATTAGACTACTCCTCTTGATAAGATGATCTTTTAAGATGGAATCTCAAATGCCAATAATTTCATATGTCTCGTAACTTTTCAACCATATATTTCATTTACTTTTATCAAAATATGTTTAAAATCTGATTTTAATCCTATCAAACAGGGTTGTGCTTTTAGTGAGACGATATTAAAGGCGCCATTAGCGGGTGCTTTGATTGGTAACACACATTTGATGATCATGTGTTGTCAACAGTTACAATCATGCAAAACTTCACGCCTTGTCACTTTATAACCTAAAATCCATTGAGCGTCTGAGCCCATTACTCAAAATATCCCACTAACAAATGCTATATCAACACCATAGCCTGCTATAAATTTGAAATTTTCTTTGATATGAAAAAATGGCTGGAAGGGTTCCAGTGGAGGTTGGCACACGAGGCACAGTAGGATCGCTGCTGAAGAGGGAGATTGAATATTTCAAAAGACTCGAATTAGATCGATTTGAAATGAGTTCTTTAAAATCTGAGAGGCACATTGGAGAAATAGGATCTGGTAGAGGCAACTCATGGCCTGGTTTCAAGTTATTCCCTTTAAAATGGAGAAGGAAGAAGAGAAGGAACTGTGGAATCCGGCCGAGCTTGTGCTCTATGGTGGAGGTGGTGGATGGCGGAGGAATGAGTGAAATTCCGGGGTTCAGTTACAGAAATCTCAAAGCTGATTCTAAAAGATTTGAAGGTCTAAATGAGTAAATTCTTTAAAATCTTTCACTCTTTAGATTTCTGACCATGATCTGGGGATTATGCTGATACTGTTCCAGTAAAATCATTGCAGTGAATAGCAGAATTTGACGGGATCATAAGAAATACTGTTTCTTGGCAATTTGGGATTCTTGTTTTTATCAGCATCTCTACCATCCTATTTCGTGTCTTTTATTATTGAGAAGACTGATTTTTTGTTATGATGTTGATTCATTGTTATCAAAAGTTTGATATGTAGTGATATTTTATTTTTGTGTACTTTAATCTTATTTGAGACTCATCAACCAAAGCTTAAACGATTAGAAAAGTGAGAAAATTATTTATTTAAATTCTATAATGAATGTTATCTAACTCAACTTCTATCTTATCTCATTACATGTGTTACCTTTGTTTTTTTATTCTTGTAATTATCTATGCCTATAAAGAATATAATAATACTAAATTCTCTAATTAATCTTGTCTGGTGTGCCACTTGTTCTCTTGACTTTATTATATTCATATTTATCTGAATTTGGCTATAATAATATATGTAGTCGATGGGAGCCTCCTTTGTTGAAAATGGTAAAGGAGTGTTAAATGAATCGAGTCAAGTAATTGAATTTATTTGTTGTTGAATTTGATTCGATTCATCATGAGAATCAACGAGCAGTTTACATGAGTTTTTTGTTGTTGTTCAACGCCACTAAAAGAACATATAAGAAAATTCATATCAATGGAATTTTGATCAAAATTCCAAGCTCGACTATGACAATAAATATGAGGATTACGCTCATTACGAGATTCTTCTTCTGCTTCTATTTTTTTTTTAAAGGGAAGAAGAAGTATATAGAACGTCAAAATTATTAATTAATATGTAAGAATAAAAATCTAGATTCAATATTAAGTCTTGTATGGTGAGGATTAAAATCGAATTTATAGTAGATTTTGATAAGAGTTTATGAAATGTGTGGTTGAAAAGTTGTGGTTAAAATTGATTGTCGATTTTGATTTAGATTAAAATCTGAATTTTAATTTCTACTAAATGAAGACTAAATAATCTTGGCACTTGTTTTTTGATAAATTAAATAAATATCTGTAGAATATTTAAGTAAATGAAATTTATTTATTAAAAATAAAGTTTGATCAATGTTTTGCCAAAAAATAACTTTACCAAACAAGCACTATGAGGAAACAGCACTTTCCCACAAATATTCATATTAGAGATATGGGGATAATTGCAGCATAGGCTCCAAACCTTTCAAATAGTTGTAGATTTTTCCCCGACCTTTCATTCGTTGCAACCGTCGCCCCCAACTTTTCGAAACGTTGCAGCTGAAGCCTTCCATCCAAATGTCTCTTAGTTGACCAAGAAATTGAGTTTGACCATATTTTTTATATTTTTTTGTAAATGACATAATGGTAACTTCAATTTACTACATTAAAATAAGTTAAAACCAAATTAGAGACAAATAAATAAAAACGGTAGATCTTCTTCTCGCACTTCCTCTCTCCTCTCCAGCATTTCATCTGGTAATTGGTATCATATCCTCACAATAGATAATTTGGGATGGCGCCTACAATTCCCACTTCCAATTATTAGACAGGGATTTCAAGGATAATATAGCAATAGAAAATAATCTGCTTTATAGTTTGATTATCTGTGGAGGACCCCAGTCACCGCACTTTACTTACCTTATTACAATGTCCCAACAGCCTCCTGTGTCTGTTTTTTCTTCACTTCCATGGCGGCCAGTAAAGAAAAGATACCTACAATATAATTGCAAGAATAAATATGCACAACCCAACAAAAAGCTAAAGTAGCAGAGGAAATTACTGTTTTATCAAAAATATAATTGTGTTTTCATAACAATTATACCATGTAAATTATTTTGTACCACAAGTGGGTGGTGTTTTCTGTTCCTGATCATCTTTGAGGCTCTCTATTTCTTAGAGAAATTCTCAATCTTTAGTCTTCAGGGTTCTTCATTAAGGTAGGATCTACTGAGTTTTCTTGATTTCAGCTTTTGGATTCTGTGGGTTCAGTGAAAAAGGTGATTCTTTGGGGTTTTTGGAGTGATTATTCAAGTTCAAGTTTTACCTTTGTGCCAAGACATTAACTCCAGGTAATTTAACCGATGGATTTTTTCTCAGGTTTTCATTACGAATGAGTCTCAATTAATAACTTCGATTCTTGGTTCCTAATTTGTGGAAGTCAGGGGCTTTTTGATCTGTAAATTAGGTGAATTTTCTTTGGAGTTATGCAGAGCCTTTGAGGTTTTTATCATCAATTACAACAGAGTCAAGAATTTGCATTGCTTTCTCTATCTCTCTTTGCCAGAAAATGAGTAAATCCATGGCCAGCTATATACAAAAATAACGCTCGGATCAAACCCAGAGAGGGAGAAAATTAGAAGAGTTCAGAGAGAAAAAGAAATGTTTATGGAGTGAGGATATGATACCGATTATCAGATGAAATGCCGGAGAGGAGGGAGGAAGTGCGAGAAGAAGATCTACATTTTTTTTTTGTTTCTCTAATTTGGATTTAACTTATTTTAATATAGTAAATTGAATCATTTACAAAAAATATAAAAAATGTGGTCAAACTCAATTTCTTGGTCAACTAACAAACATTTGGATGAAATTCATCCATAGGAGCTTTAGCCGCAACATTTCGAAAGATTGGGGGCGACTGTTGCAACGAATGAAAAATTAAGGAAAAGTCTGCAACTATTTGAAATGTTTGGAGCTTTTGCTACAATTATCCCTAGAGACATGTTTCGTACCATGCAAGATATAACTAGAAAAATATGGTTAAACTTATCGACATTCTCATTTAATCTAACAATTATTGTTATAAATTAAAAATGTTCTTCACAACAAGCAAGTGCCTTTGCATATGAGATCGATAATATCAACGTGGTATATATGGGAGAATATCCATTACACAAATTTCAAACAATTTTTTTAGTTTCCGGCAATAACCCCAAAGAAGACCAACAAATGCCCTTTACACCCCTCTCTCAACCGTCACGATTCAGAAGTTATTTACTCCTGTAATGTTGATTAACCGAAAACTTTATCCCCCCCCTCTCTCTCTCTCTCTCCAAATTTATTGTCTCTCTTTCTCTATGTTGATATGAGTTGTGCAAATCCTGCACGTTTCTGAAGTTTCTAGTCTTCTTTTTCTCCTTTTCTTCTTATTCGATTCGATTTTCTTTTCTTATTCATAAATAAGAAGTTTAATTTGGGAGGATAAAGCTGAGCTGAAATTACTAGAATGCCGCTGAGCTTTCTGCCGATAGATATCGGAATCGGAGGACTGCCGTCTAACTGGTGGGATGAAATCAATGAATCGGTCAAATGGCAAGACGGGTTATTCTTCACTCTCTGTGCTGCTTATGGCCTCGTTTCCCTCGTAGCCCTTGTAAGTAACGAAAGTTACCATTGTGCTAGTTCTGTTGAACAAACAAATGATTTAATTGTGTGATGTTAATGATTTTATATGTGTTTGAATTCAATTTGTAATTTTCCTCATGAATCTTTGACTTTTTCCCAAATTTTGGGATCTGAGAAATTGAACATAAGAGCTTGCTCAGCTGAACATAAATATATGCATATCATTTGGATTAGTTATTAAGAAATATATACCATAGTATCCTATGGCAACTTGCAGTCCACTTTTAATTTTATAATTCTGTGGCTTCTTGCTTCTTTCCTTTGCTGGAATTTACATCATTCTGCAATCAGTTTCTGAATATGTACTTTTCATTAACTACTCTAGCAACGCTAATGTGTGGGACACATGACTGTCTCCTAATTTTGATCTCTGTTTTCTGAAACTGACTGACTTACGCTATTTACATGGTGGTTTAGTGAGTTGCAAAATTATCATAAGTGCGACTTGAGATGAAAATTGAATGTAATTTTAGTGGAATATTACTTAATCTAGAAACCGAGTAACAACAGTGAAGAACTAAACTTGGTGGACTATGATCTGTATTGTTGATATTGTGATCTGCTTTGAACATTGATATCCGGATATGTACTCGTATACATTTAAGCCAATCATTGGACATTTCTGGAAGTTCCTCAAATGAAATACTTGGATGTTGATATGCTTTGAACATTGATATCTGGATATGTACTCGTATACATTTAAGTCAATCATTAGACATTTCTGGAAGTTCCCCAAGTGAACTACTTGCATGTTGATAATGTAATCTTTTACTCAATCTAAGATATTGCAACAATAAAAATATAAAGAACCAGAAGTGAATCTAACCAGAAGTGAATCTATGAATGTGGATAATGTGGAATCGCACTGTGACTTCCATTTGGAAGAAAGAGGAACGCTAAGAAACTCCCATCCCTGGTCCTTGCCGTAACTCGTGATTAGACGAAATGACTTGTCAAGGCCAATTATCATGAAGGAATTCAAATGCCAATTAGTAATTTGATTATAAGATCTTGGATAATTAGTAAGGTAAGGTTATAAGCTCCCCCATCATATGCTTTACTCTCAAGTTTCATGAATAAATTTAGAAAAGGTATCTTTGGAAAAGCAAAAGAAGAAAAAAGTCTTTAATTCGTGTTAGTTATTTTCTTTATTTTTCCTCGTTTGCTTCTTACAAATATGTTTCCTGATTATGCTATTGAGTACTGTGGCAATTGGTAGGGAGAACTTTATCAAGTATTCATTACTACATGCAGATTCAATTCATAAGAATTGAACTAAGAGTGCCTGAGTATGGTTGGACGACACAAAAGGTTTTCCACCTTATGAACTTCATTGTAAATGGAGGTAAAACAAAAAATCACTTATATATATATATATATATATATCTTATTTTATGCTCATTTTTCAATTCGCTGATTTTGATTGTAAAGCTACCATGCAGTGCGTGCGGTCATGTTTGGATTTCACAAGCTGGTTTTTCTTTTGCATCCGAGGGTAAGCTTCACTATTCGCGATAAAAGCTATCAATGATTTAAAAGTAGTTAGTACATTAAATGACAACAGTTTCTGCCACTTCATGGTTGAAATTCTCTGTGTTCTCTTTTTCTTCCTCCCAAATCGTCTTTCTGCTTGAAGCTTCTTATTCTCAGCCTGG